GTGTGTGTGTGTGTGTGTGTGTGTGTGTGTGTGTGTGTGTGTGTGTGTGTGTGTGTGTGTCAGTTCCATTGTAAAGGGAGGTCAAACAGGAAGCAAAGCCACTGAGACATTCAAGAACAAGGTGGCAGGTTTTTAAGTGTGTGTTCGTGTGTGTGTCTGTGTTAATAAGTGGGCTGATGTGTCAAAGCCCAAAGCTTCGTTGCAGCTCAGCCCAGGCTCGAGCTCCCTCTCGGGGATGGAGAAGTTGTGGGGGGGGGGGGGGGGGGGGGGGGGGGGATATCACTGCTGGCTGACTCCCATCTGTTGGTGGTCGGGCCCAGGTTCCCCCTCCATGTCGGCGTGGTAGGGCTCAAAACTGTCATCATCGATGTCTGGAAGACCTAGAAGCTAACAGAGAGAACGGGGCGAAGAATTAGAGGTAAGTTTGTGTTGAAGTGTTTGTATCAGAATGAGCAAATCTTACTCAAAACATAAATCTCTGGCATTTATTTATAGCAGGGATGGACAACTGGTGGCCCATGTGCCACATCTGGCCAGGCCAGCAGGTGATTTCTGACAGGCCTGACAATGAGGCCCCCACAAAAACATCATTTCCCCCCCTTTTTTTTGTCGGAGGTAGACTATCATTTACTAAACAAAAGTACAACTGTAATACACGCCTTTGAGCATGAAATATGTTAAATTACTACATTTTATGTTAGTTTAATAATTAGTATACACACAAACATGTCTAAAATGATTAAATTTGATTAAGTGCACAGAGCTATCTGGCCCTCTGGTAGTGTCAACAAAAATTGTGTCCCCTTCCATCATTTCGGTTGCCCATCCCTAATGTACAGTCATGATTAACAAAAGTAATATAAATTAGATTTTCTTTTTATTCATACAATCATATTTTTATGTATTTTTACAAATGCTAACTCAAAAGACGTGTTGAAATCAGGTCGTCACAGGAAATAAAATTAGAAATAATAACGAAAAGTGAAAAAGAAAATAAAAAACACAAGGATTGTTACATTTCTCTTGTGTGTGCGTAGAATGAACTATAAATTGTAATATAACTCTTACAGTAATGAGTGAATGTACCTCTGGGTAAGTTTTAGAGTCAGCCTGATTCAAAATGGTAATATAGCAAATATAAACTGCTATAACTTTCTCCAATATACAGATAATGAGACAAAGTTATGTGGAGCAGCTGACTGTCGTCCTCATATACACACTCTAAAAATGAAATGTTGGATTTACTTAACAATGTTATGTTACCTGGTTCCACTTAACTGAGTTGAGTAAATTCAAAGCAACATACTCATGTTYTTTGGYTAAAAAACTGGTATATTGCTTTGAATTTACTCAACTCAGTTAAGTGGAACCAGGTAACATAACATGGTTAAGTAAATCCAACATTTCATTTTTTACAGTGCACAGGATGTGGCGGTGGCGGCCTTCTTGAATCAAAACTCTCATGCATTTGGCAGCATGGCGCCTCAGTGTAGCACCGGTGCTAACCACTGCTGCTTTGGTACAAAAGCTAAATCATTTGAATCTTCTCAGCTGAGAAAAACAAAACCAAAGGAATTGTAAACTCACTGATCACGAGGCTTTAAATCATGTCTGACTGTAAGTTTAATGTCTCATGAGGAAAACACTAAAATACCACACTGGTGTAGACCCCGCTGTTTTGTCAGAAGCTGAGAGAACAGATCGTGCAAGGGGCTGGTAGAGACATGGTACTGTGCTGTGGATGCTGCAGAGTTTGTTTGTTTCCTTACAGGCCTGAAGGACGTGAAGACCTTTTCCAACACCTCCAGCAGAGTCTTCTTCCCGCAAGAGGAAATGTAGTCCTGGGCCAGCTGCAGAAAGGGGAGGCAGTCCTCGCTTTCGCTCCACACGTGCTGCACACACACACACACACACATGCACACACACAAAGGTTATTAACCTATTTCTTACCAACCACAGAAAATACCGGGAAATGCAAAGAGTTATGAGGAAGGGGAGGGATCCTACAAGGTTCAAATCAAGTCTCACCCTCTCTATAGTGCTAACACTCATAAGATATAATGTAACATGTTAAAGTAAAGCTGATTCCGAGCTTTTGTACAATGAATATAAAAGTAACAGAGAAAATGTTGAGAATGTATTTATAATTATAAGGTTGCTGTGTAGAGTGCAACATAAATCCAAATGAAGCAGAACCACGTGGCCCAGTTCTGGTCCACACAATGCACCAACACTGGGCTCAGATATCAAAAAGAATGACGGCGCTTTCATGACCCAGATGTGGTTTATTAGAGGTGGTCCATTCATGGGCCAGCTCCACATAAATCAAGCCATAACCAAGCCAGTTGTGGCATGCCATCTTAAAAACTGTGCCATCATTGCCAGGCCTGGCCCACATCCTGTTGACAAACCACTTGCCATGCCAGCAGCTTGACACCAGATGTGGCCCACACCTGTCTGCTACTAGCCTGGTTTAAACCAGACCCTGTCCTTCACTTTGGTTCGTACAACACAGACTGGCTTCATTCACTTCCTCCACTGCCGTACGCTAAACTAACTAGCAGACACTGCGCAGAAAGTCGACGTCGTTCAGAGCTCCTCCTTCTGTTCTCTGATTGGCCCAGGTAAAATAAACTACAAGCAGACTCTGCGCAGAAAATTGACGTTCTCTTCTCTGATTGGCCCGGCTAAAAATCTGCCAGCGAAATCATTCTCTATGGGAGAAGTCCCAGACGGAGCAGTGAAGGGAAACTAGAATTGAGCGGAGCTGCGTAGGAAGGCAAGGGCCAGGCTAGTCTGCTACTATATGGGGAAAAATGCTGAGTGTTGTATGACTCAAGCTCAAAGTGTTTGTTAAAGCTCAAATAGCAAACCACTAGCCTACAATCTGAAAGTTCAAAAAAAAAAGCTGGCTAAAAGCATCAAACGTTTAGCTACAAGTCAAAAACAACACAATGATGGCAAAAAGCTAAATGTAGCTAAATGATAACTAAAAGGTAATGTAGCAAAAGAGTTCCCAAAAGTAAAAAAAGGCTTGCAAGGAGATAAAGGTAGCACAAAATCAGCTAGAAGTTTAAAGTATCAAAACAATATCTAGAAAATAAAATTAACAAACTGCTATTTAGAAGCTGAAACTAACAAAAAGCTAGCTAAAATCAGAAAAGGGTTAGCTAAAAGATAAAGTTAACACACAATTAAAACTAAATGTAGCAAAAGTTAAAGCAGCAAATAGCTAAAAAAGAAAAGAGTCAGAATGATAGCTAAAAAGAAAAAGTAGCATTACAGGAATAACTCAGAATCCTGATTTTCATGGATTTAAAAAGATTTAATGTTCTGTATTTCTGTGGATAAAGTATTTGTAACTAAAATTAATATTTTGAAAAGTATAAACATTGCAACTGTTGAAAGTCATAGCACCCATTTTCTGAATAAGCTGAACATTTTGATATAAGAGCTAAACTAGCACAAAATATACATAAGTAGCTTGCAAAACACACACACACACAAAAACAAAAACTAAAAAAAGGGAAATTAATTGTGTTAATGCTCATGATTATAATACAGAAAATAAAATCTTGGAGAAGGGGGATCTGTTACAATCAGCTTAATGTTAATACAAAAGCTTTGAATAAAAATATCTTAAGAAAATAATCTTTCAAACTTTAGAACTGAATGAATCATGTGAAGATAACAAAATTGTAGTTGGTTTAAGACAGCAGCAGTCTGTTAGGTAAGATATTAACAGTTTATAACCTTACCATAAAACCACACTTCAAATGTCCGAATATCCCTTTGATTTGTGCTAAGATGTGAGTTATTTTAACTTCCTCAAGGAGTGCAAGGGTTTGACCAGACAGAAAACATTAGATAAAATGTGTGAGATAAGTCCTTGATGAAACGTTACTCTAGTCTGTGTTAATCTAAGTCTAAAGGCCAAACTGTTGGTTAGATATTAAGAAATGCAGTTGTGTGTGTGTGTGTGTGTGTGTGTGTGTGTGTGTGTGTGTGTGTGTGTGTGTGTGTGTGTGTGTCCTTGTTTTTCCTACATCGTGGGGCCCAGTTTTAAATAAAAAGCAGCCTCGTGGGGTCTGGGTGCTACTTGTGGGGCACAAAGCAAAGGATGGCCACCTCTATGTACCAGATCATCTTGTTTCCAAGGTACTCATTTTTTGTCATGCATCTCCACTGTTTTGCCATCCGGGCATAGGAAAAACAATGGAAATAGTCAAGTCTCAGTTCTGGTGAGGTTCCCTGCAAAGGGACATTAGAGATTTCATTGGGTCTTGTACCCAATGCTCCCTGGCTAAACCCTCTCGCTGACCGCCAGCGGGTCTCCTAAGGCCGCTCCCCATTCCTTCACGTCCCTGGTCCCACATAACTATGGACTTCGTCACTGGTCTGCCACTGTCTGGGGGTAAGTCTGTCATCCTAACTACCATTGACAGATTTTCTGAGATGGTCCACCTAGTAGCTCTGGAGAGATTACCCTTTGCCAAGGAACTAAGTCCGATAATGTTAAAAGAGGTGTTCAGGCTACATGGGTTACCTAAGAACACTGTTTCTGACTGAGGCCCTCAGTTCATCTCCAAGTTTTGGACTGAATTTCATAAAACCCTGGGCATTGAACTAAGTTTGTCTTCAGGTTACCACCCCCAGACTGATGGCCAGACGGAGCGTGCCAACCAGGAGATGGAGACCCGTCTGCGCATCCTATGTGGTGATGATGGCACTAAATGGGCAGAACATCTCCTTATCGTAGAACATTCTATGAACTCCATCGCTTCCAGTGCCACTGGTTTGTCTCACTTCTATGTCCTGTACGGATACCAGCCACCAGTGTTTGCCACCCAAGACCGAGCTGCCATCGTCCCGTCAGCATACCAAGCCACTCAGAGGTGCCGAAGAGTCTGGACCAAAGCCCGTGCCCAACTTCTAAAGTCTTCAGCAGTCTACACGCGTGCAGCCAATCGTCACAGGATCCCTTCACCCAGCTACCAGGTGGGACAAAAGGTTTGGCTCTCCACCAAGGACCTACCCCTGGGTGTAGATGGCAGAAAGTTGGCACCCCGGTTCCTCGGTCCCTTTCCCATTTCCAAAGTGGTAAACCCGGAGGCTGTCAAGTTGAAACTACCCAACTCCATGAAGATCCACCCAACGTTCCACGTGTCCCGGGTCAAGCCTGTCCAGTTCTCCAGGTTTTTGCCCTCCTCCAGGTCCCCTCCACCCACCCGACTCATTGATGGAGGTCCTGTCTACACCATTCGCCGCATCATGCGTTCCCGTCGCTGGGGTGGAGGGATCCAATATCTCATTGATTGGAAGGGCTATGGTCCCGAAGAACGCTCCTGGGTTCCCGCACGCCACATCCTCGACAAGTCCCTCATTGCCAAGTTCCACAAAGATCACCCCACTCAACCTGGAGGTTCGTCAGGAGCCAGACCTTAAGAGAGGGTACTGTCATGAATCACATCTGTTTCCTGCCCAAGTCCTGTCACAGTCTATTATCTCCTAATTGTTTCTCCCCTCCCATCTCAGCCAACCATAATCAACATCATGCAACTCACCTGTGTTCACTAGTATTTAAGCTCCTCTCATCCACAGCTCCTGTGCCAGATTTATGAACGGTTCTGCCTAGTAATTATCCAGCATTCACGTCACGTCTTGCCTGTCTCATCTCGACCTTGGTTCTCCTCATTGGTTCTTCGCCTCTCGCCTTGCCCCTGAATGGTACCGTCCCGGACTCTGCTCTCTTCGTTTTGACCCCTGCCCTGGACTCTGGATTTCTGCCTCCTGCCTCACTCCCCATCGGTACTGTTCTGCCTTCTGCCTCCCGGATTATGACCACTGACCGCCTGCTCCAACCACGAGATAAGTCTACTCCTTCTGAACTGGTTCTGCTCTCAGTCTGCCTGTGTATGACCCCTGCCTGTCCCACGGATCACCCCTGGACCTCTAAGTCCCAAATGAGGTCTCTCTCCAAACATGGAAGTGTCACTGGACACCACCCGACACTTTCCACGTCACTCGAGTTTGCTCAGGACCAAGCGTTCTCTTAAAAGGTTAGTGGCTCAGTTTAATACAAGATCCGTCCTTCTGTTTAATCCAGCCACTAACCTGTTCCTCTCCTGTTTAGAACTCCTGGTTCCCCTGACGTGTCAATCCAGATCCAGCTTCCTGTTTATAAATAAAACTTTTGATACTGGTCTGATGTCTGGCAATTCAGTGAAACTTGTTTACCCATTTATTACATTCATAATCAAACTTATGAAGTGTATGAACAGTATTATTTATGCTTCTGCTGCTGAGCCATAAGGATCTTTGAAATAAAAAACTTCAATCTTAAATTAAAGTTCATGCATCCATTCATCTGCTTCCTCCTCACAACCCTGACCCACAGATCCCTCCCTGACAAGAGACATTTCAACAGCACGACAGCAAATGTCACACCTGGGTACATGCGCAGGGCACTCCCTCACCGGTGGATATTATAAAAAGTTTGCTTTTTAAAGTCAGTACTTCTCATTGTTTTATTGTCCTGCAGGCTCTGAGTGAAAATTAATTTGAAGCTGAGTTTTTGATAAAAATCATTACATTACTTTAAACGTCTGTAAACCTGCAAAATGAGGGAAAATTTGTGTCAATTACAGACATTCTATTCACATGAGCAGTTGTCAGTCAGCACATGCCATCCTCCAGACGCACGAAGGAGAGTGGCTGAGTCGGCCAATCGCTTTTGTTGGCATTGATCAGCTGACTGATTTAAATACACCTTAACATTCATGAGGTACTTTGCATTGACTGTTCATGGTTGAGTGTCAGCGTGTAGAGGGTAGAACCTGAGGCGGGACCTTGTGCGCAAACTCTGACGTGCGGCTGTGATCTAAAAAAAAGGTGTGCAGTAAGATGCGTACGCACAGTTTTATAAATCTGAGGTTTTTTTGGCGTACACCATTTTCGTCTTTTGGCCGAACGTTCACTTTTTAGTATGGTTTCCACGCAATCCTTTATAAATCTGACCACTGATCTTTGTCTTTTCAGGGTTTAGTTTAGTTTAGTTTTGTTTTATAAAAAAAAAAACTAAGCAAAAAATGATAAAAAGTGATAACAAACTTAACAAAATTAACATATTTGAAAAGGAATGGGAAGAAGTCAAAAACTTATTTAATCCCTCCCTTCTCCGAAGCGTATTAACAAAAAAAAAGTAAATTCTTCTTTTTCCTTATTCTAAGTTACAATTTCATAAAAATTAAAACAACAACCTGTTTACCTAGAATTTTACATAATACCAGAATATATTCATAAACGTAAATGTACATCTACATGCAGTGTATATGCATACACATAAATGTATACATACACACATGTACGCACATATATACACAGCCCCAAACATCTCCATATATTGCTTTAGGGTTTGTGGCAGTTTAACTCTCCAGTCTGTGTGTGTTTTTTTGTGGATCTAGGGAAGGTTTACAACTGCAGATGTACAAGGATTTGTCTGGTTAAATAAAGGGTAACAAATAATAAAAGCTATCCAATCCTGTATAACCAAGGAAAGAGTTTGGTTTAAAGTTGAGCTCACTGGACTCTGGCTTACTTGTCTCCAGTCCTGATTGTATTTTTTCTGGACAGGATCTCAACGCACAGTAATGAGTGTGTGTGGTTTGGGGACTTTGGGGTCTCATCTCTGCTCTCTGCACATGATGTTTCAGTCTTCGGACCACGACCTTCCGTGTAAACTGAAAAGGTTTGTAGCTGAGGACGAAGCTGCTGGGATGAGTCAGTTCCTTTACGGTTAACAACAACAAAATAAGAACTGAAACTTTTGCTTGAAATAACGCCACTTTTAAAGGTTTTCCCACCACCTGTTAGCACTCTGAATATGTGTTTGGAACGAACAGAGCACATCAGATAATTCACTGCTGGCAACTTGGAGCAGGAATAAAATATCTTCAGAGTCCCACTGAGTGACAGGAAGCTGTCATCGCAGATCTGAAGAGAACTTTGGATGTTAGTGATAGATCCAAGTGGAAGGGCTGCAACTCCTGACAGGGATTAAATTACACAGAAAGCTGTGTTCTTACAAGGTGAAAACTCAAAAAGAAGGATCACAAAGTGCGTTCAAACCTTCAAATTGTGTGTTTTGATGATGAAACTGTGTTGCTGCTTTCCAATAAAACGTTTTGATAATGCAGAGGGGGAAAAAGTGGCTCCTCTTCCCTCAACAGCTTTGGAAACCTCCTGCTTTAGCGCTGCCTGTGGAAGCATTCAGACGGGGCGTGCAACAGCGTGACATAATGTGTTATTGACTGAACAGACGCCCAGACTCCTGGGTCATCTCCATTTGCCCCCGCCCTGTTGGCTCATGTCGCTGAGAGGGAGGAGGAGGAGGAGGGAGGAAGGAGGGTCGAGCCGCTATGGGCTTTAAAACACCGGCGCTGCATCACACATGAAAAGAGTGAAATACTAGAAAAACTGGATCCTCAGAACCATGCTTCAGTCAGACTGAATAACTCCTGAGGTCAACCTGATGAAAGATGGCCGCCACAGCTAAACACAAAAATGGCCACAACTTATTTCATTTTACAGATATCGAGCTTCAGTGTTTCGCGGGAATAACTCGGAAGTATTCACAACATTTTGGGCACAGGGGCGGAGCTAGACTTTTATGCAAGGGGGCACACAGGTGTCCAAAGTCTTTTTTAGAGGGTACATACAAATATATAAATATAATTATATATAAATATAAAAAAATTTTTGCTTGGCTGTTCATCGGAATGAAATATGGTAGTTTTTTGTTGTTGTATATTTTGTTATATTCATGTAAGTATTTTGATGTATGTGTATGTATATGTGTATATACATCTAGATAGATAGACGGACGGACGGACGGACGGACGGACGGACGGACGGACGGACGGACGGACAGACAGACAGACAGACAGAC